GTGCAATATATATTATTATAAAATTAATAATGTTTGGGAAAATTTATACAGCCATAATCTTCTTATGATACAAACACAGATGAAATGGCTCTGATCATGTAAATGTTTGTACTAACCATACTGCACATTTTTATTAACTAAACAATAACTTATTTCTGCTGCACAGTGTAAAAGATATGTTTCAGCTCAACTGGATCAAAAATTCATCAAAAAGCTGTGTGTGAAATAGAAATTTTGGACACTGAACCTTTAGCAGTTATTCAATTAACAATATTTTTTCCCCTGTGTTCCTGCTCTCTGCAGTTTCTACTATTTGCTGATGGTAAAAAATGAATAACTGAAGTGACCTTTAATTAGCATTTTGCACTTTAAAAATGTATTTTTGTTTATTCAATTAAGATATTTTTCAGTGTCTTAATATTTATTCTTTAATTCTTTTTATATATTCTTATGTAAAAGGTTCACATTCATGCAACCAATAGTTAATAAACTTGTTTTTTCCATACTTACAGTTGCTGACTGTTTCTCAGTTTGATCTAGCCTTTCATACATTTGACTCAACGAAATAGGTAAAAGTAAAGTATTCATAATTTGTGCTGATATCCAATTTATATTGGTATCGGTTCGTACTGATGGCTGCAATATCGGTATCGTATCGGAAGTTAAAATTTTGTATCAGGACATCCCTAATATATATATATATATATATATATATATATATATATATATATATATATATATATATATATTAGGGATGTAACGGTATCAGAATTTCACGGTACGGTAATACCTCGGTATCAATGTCACGGTACGGTATTTATTGAATCATTTACAGGAAAAAACAAAACTTATGAAAATACTCCAAAAAAGTGCCAAAAGTGTCAATGACATACAAATTAGTCATCTATCTGTAAGCTTTGAAACAGGAACTTCAATTTTAATAACAAAAAAATATTAAACCATGTAAAAAAAATTAAGTTTCAATTTAGTATTGTTGAAAACTCATCACATTCAACATTTAATCACTCACTCACTTACTTAGATAGAGATGGGTTTTAAGGAAAATTATCATATAAATATAATCTGGTAAAAGCTGGTATCTCTGGGTATTTACAATGTCCCCTGCAACAGAAAAAACCCCTCTCATTTGGGACTGAGGTTTCTGGGACAAGAGAGATATGAGTTGGCCCAGGTTGACAGCAGTGGGTAACGTTGTGCATTGTCTTTCCCCCACTTGAGAGGACAAACCATGAGTGAGATAGAGATCTCATGTCTGCATCAATCTGAACAGTGTGCTGTGTTTCTGCAGTCCCCATGACTGATTATTAGTCGTATTCCCCAACTTGCAGGCACATGCACACACAGTGCTCAACCTGTGCAGTGCACATGCCCTTTTTAGTCTTGGATAGAAAGTTCCCTTCCAAAATGATCAAAAGTGCCCCCGCGACGCGACATACCCTCCGTCCCCGTTTTAAGGCTGATTTATACTTCTGCGTCAAACACCGGCGTATGCTACGGCACTGACGCATAGCCCTTCGCCGTGGCCATCGCCGTCACTGACGTGCACCTCTCAAAAAATGTAACTACACGTCGCAACGACGCGTAGCGTAAGCTCTGTGATTGGTCGGCTTGGTAGCGCTGACGAGTCTGGGCGGGACCGAGAGCCGCGCGAATGGCGCGACGCAGCGCGAGCTATTGTATACAAGTGTGGAGTACCGTGAAGGAGCTCCGGATGGAAAGTTTTGTTTTGTGTTTACTTCATAGTTAAAGTTGTTGCACGTCCGCCGGTTCCTGCCTCAAAATGAGCAAGTTTGAGCCACTTGTACATCCCGGAAGTGATCAGGAAAAGAAAAAAAGGAGCGAAGAAACTCGACACAGAGGAACATTTACACCTCACTGCCAACTAGCGTTTCGGAAGTGTTAATGCAGACCAACAGAGACAGCGCGCTGAAGTATAAATGCACAGCTACGTGCGTTGCATGCGCCGTTGGTTACGCCGGTCACCTGACGCAGAAGTATAAATCAGGCTTTACAGTACGCGCGCGACAACACAGCTGATAAGAACTCGCGCGACAACACCGCTATTCAGTACGCGCACGACAACACAGCTGATAAGAATTCGCGCGACAACACCAATATTCAGTACGCGCGCGGCAACAACACCCGCTTTAGGGTTTTCCAGCTCTTTTTGATCCCCGCTTCTAGCAGCACACTCCATTTCCGCATTACTGGATCTGTAGCGACAACAGAGCGCAAGGGATTATGGCCAAGCCTGGGCTGATGGGAATTGTAGTTTCCAGTACCTCCCGTTCGCTTCATTCGCCTGAGCAAATTTTCTCAGAAGACCTATAGTTTTACCGAGTCATGCGACTACGGTAATATCGAAAAAAATTAATATTGCGGTATGACAGTATTTACAATACCGTTACGTCCCTAATATATATATATATATATATATATATACACACACACAAAGAGAGAGAGAGAGAGAGCATAAAGATGAAGTTGAACTCGAAAGCTGTTTAGGCCTACTCTTACAGCCAGATGGAAACAGGAATTGAAACAGTTCAACTTCTTGAAATGTTTTGCATCTCAAATAATTGCTGAATCATGTATGTCAACTGTGCAATTATGTCAATAAAACATTTGTAATCGGTTGTCACGTTATATAATGTCACTGACATTCAAAACTTCATAGTAAGCTATAAAGAAAACGGCGTTTTTAACAAGTGAGAAAACAGTGGCTTACAGGCCTATTTAGGGTGTTTCGAAAGAATATACATATTGGGTGAAAAATAAAATGAGAAAGAATGGATATGTTTGAAAGTACAGTATCAGCTATTTGCGAAACAAGTGGGTTTCCCCTAAAAGAAGTGTTCATCGTCGAATGGTGTGGTTTACACCGCCGGCTGGAGAGGCTGCGGTGCAGAGAATGAATGAGATGTCGTGTGTGATGCATTACACCACTACAGATGAAACCGGTATTGCATCACGTGGTCACCGTCCTTGTTAGTGACTGATAATTCATTCATTGATCATCGGTAACAGGAATAAAGGACCATTTGCGTTCATACATGTGGTTGAGAGAGGACAACGGTGGGAGGGGAGAAGAGGAAAAACGCTGAAGCAGAATCCCTGCTTTCTTTCTCTCTCCCTCTCTTCTCTTTCTGTTCCCCGAACGCAGCGCGCGTATCCCACTCACTGAGCGCGAGGCTCCGCGGCACGCGCACACACGCCTGCTCACACACTCACGCACAGTCACACTCACACAGAACCAGCCGAGACAGGGAAGAATGAGGAAGAACTCGCACGCACGTTTCAGCTCTCTCAGATTTGCTGATAAAGCATCAGATATTTGAACGCTACGGGTCTGTTTGGGGAAAAACAAACGCGTATATGGAAAGCGGAGGGTGTATATGTGCATATATTACTCGCGCGGGTCTCTAATCTCTCCTCCATCTCATATATAAAAACTAAACTAATGCGAGCTGGGATACTACTGACTGCTTCCGACACGCACAGTCTCCGTTAACTCCTGCTGCCGCTGTCCTTCAGACTGACTACTTCCCGGAGTACCGTTACGGTAAGAGCATCTTCTTCTTATATTTAAAATAACACATAACCCTAGTGCAACAATAGGATACCGCCATCATTAAGCTCCATGCAGACCCATTATGCATAGGTGCCGCGTTCAACAAGGGTTAACAGGCAGCCGCAGACAGTCCGAGTATCACATTAATGATAATCACTACGGAGAGGGAACCACTTGATACAGAGGTACGCTCTTGTGCCAGTGCGGTGCGGTCCGGTCTGCAGTGGCCCGCGGAGGATCATTTAACCGGTTGTTCGCCTTCACCTCATTTTACGGAAATCTGTTGTGCAAGTGAAAGTTGTATTAAACGATCCGATCGCAAGAAAATCTGTGATGCATGAACATAACGTGTGGGGGGAAAGGTTGAGGCTCCTTTAGCCAACGTTTATCCGAACAATAAGAGCATTTCAATAAAACAATCATCCGTGTCCGCATCGACTGTATGTGGGATGGCAGATGTTTGATCAGAGGATGGGGTGCTGAATGAGAGCAGTAGGTTGCGGTATATGTGAATGAGAGTGAGGGAGATCTGAGCAGTGCTGAATTCAACCGCGCTGTATTCGGTCTTTTTTTTGCATTACACATCGTTAAACCGGGGTTAAAAACGGCCAAAATGTGTATGATTAAATAATGATCCAGGCCTATTCGAGACGCAGGGGTTTTATTTTAATTTAAATATGTGAGCAAGGTCTGCAAGGGTTTGCTGTGCACTGTACTCATTGATGACTGCAGAAATGAATGTGTGTGTGACTCTGTGGGTGTGTGTCCATGCATGTGTTTTGCACCATGAGCAAGTGTTTCATCCTCTTGCTTTAGGGGCAGATTGCCACCCTTTGTCTGATGATGCATTTTGCAGGCATGGTTTGAATTCAGGTCTGCTTGCTTGCAGTCAAGTGCCAGTGTCCCAACCTGAACTTCATTGGATAATTTCTTTTCAGTACCAAAAATCTACACTATATATTTGACTTTTTAAGGAAAAACAATTTGTAAATTGTATATTGAAAATAACATTGTTGCTATAAGTCTTAAGGAAGCATGTACTGTACCATTCTGCTGAAAAAAATGCTGATTTAATTGATTAACAATAAATGATTTAACATGGGTATATAGATCTTCACATAGAAATGATTTCACATGGATATACAAGTCTAGTTGCTTCAGAAGGAGTTTTCTCTTGACATTTCAGGAACTTGCCTTTCAGCAAACACTGTTGAAATGCTCCCAAAAAAATCAGTTTTAAATCAGTGTCAGAAATCTAGCTATATAGTAACCTTTATGAGAACGTGTGTCAGTACCTGTTGGTGATTAGTGTCCTGGTTTCGTTTCAATTAATGGATGATCTATTTTTTTCTTCACCTCCTTTTTTTTCTTTCTTTTTTAGCAGAAGTTTGCCGCCGAGTAAGGAAAGATGAGGCATCGTGAGACCTCCCCACGCCTCTTCCTGACCTTTCAGTGTCTAGTCCTTTTGGTGATAGTGGTCCACAATGTCCACCATGTGACAGCCGAACATGCCCCAGATCACAGCCAGGATCATAGTTCTCCTGCCAACAAATCTTTGAGCTGTGGGGGCGGCTCAGCCATATGTGCCCCTGGAGTCATCCTTCCAGTGTGGGAACCCCCAAATCCTTCCTTTGGGGACAAGGTAGCCCGGGCCACCGTTTACTTTGTGGCACTGGTATACATGTTTCTGGGGGTTTCGATTATTGCTGATCGCTTCATGGCATCTATCGAGGTCATCACCTCACAGGAAAAGGAGATCACCATTAAGAAACCAAATGGTGAAACGACCACCACAACTGTACGCATCTGGAATGAAACGGTGTCCAACCTTACCCTCATGGCTCTGGGTTCTTCTGCTCCTGAAATTCTGCTGTCGGTCATTGAAGTGTGCGGCCATAACTTTGAAGCTGGTGACCTCGGTCCCTCTACCATCGTCGGCAGTGCAGCTTTCAACATGTTTGTCATTATTGGAATCTGTGTCTATGTGGTGCCCGACGGAGAACATCGCAAAGTGAAACACCTGCGTGTGTTTTTTGTTACTGCTGCTTGGAGCATTTTTGCCTATTTGTGGATGTACCTGATCTTGGCTGTTTTGTCACCTGGTATTGTCCAAGTGTGGGAGGGTCTTCTCACTCTTTTCTTCTTTCCCATATGCGTGGTCTTCGCTTGGATCGCTGACCGCCGCCTCCTGTTTTACAAGTATGTTTACAAGCGCTACCGAGCTGGCAAGCACCGTGGCATGATTATCGAGACAGAGGGGGACCGGCCCTTACCATCCAAGGTGGATATCGAGATGGATGGGAAAATGCTGAACTCCCATGCCGTGGACTTCTTGGATGGAACTCTGGCTTTGGAACTGGAGGATAAAGACCTGGATGAGGATGAAGCTAGACGTGAAATGGCGAAGATCTTGAAGGAACTGAAGCAGAAACATCCAGATAAAGAGGTGGAGCAGTTGATTGAACTAGCTAATTACCAGGTGCTCAGCCAGCAGCAGAAGAGCCGTGCATTCTACCGATGCCAGGCAACCCGCTTGATGACCGGAGCAGGTAACATTCTGAAGAAACATGCGGCAGACCAGGCTCGTAAAGCAGTGAGCATGCATGAGGTACGCAGTGACACTGGTGAGAATGACCCAATTTCTAAGATCTTTTTTGACCCTTGCTCATACCAGTGCCTGGAAAACTGTGGCACCGTGGCAGTGAATGTGATCCGTCGTGGAGGCGATCTCAATCAAACCGTGTCCGTGGAATTTCGCACTGAAGATGGAACCGCAAATGCTGGCTCAGACTATGAGTTCACTGAAGGTACCGTTGTTTTCAAGCCTGGTGAGACACAGAAGGAAATCCGAGTTGGAATTATTGACGATGACATCTTTGAAGAAGACGAGAACTTCCTCATCCACCTAAGCAATGTCCGTGTGGTTCATGAGGGTGATGAGCCAGAGACCACTGAAGCCAATCATGTGGAGACCATTGCAACACTCGGTCTGCCCTCCACAGCAACAGTCACCATCTTTGACGATGACCATGCTGGAATCTTCACATTTGAAGAGCCGGTCACCCATGTGAGTGAGAGTGTGGGTGTCATGGAAGTGAAGGTCCTGCGTACGTCTGGTGCCCGTGGGGTGGTGTCAGTGCCATATAAAACCATTGAGGGAACAGCCCGTGGAGGGGGAGAGGACTTTGAAGACAGCCATGGTTTTCTGGAGTTCCAAAACGACGAAATTTTGTAAGTCACAATCTCATATTATATCATACAGCAAAATGTGTTTGGGTTCCTGTCCTGATGAGTCACTCCTAAAAAGAAGAGCAGTACTTTTTTAAGATCTGAATTTAATTTAGGTTCTTGTAGTGGTCTGTCAGAACAGGAATGTAATGCATGCAAGATGTTTTTGAATTATATGTGCTTGGAGTAGCATGCTTGATGCTAAGTATTTTGCTGTGTGGCATCATTGTGATGTCACTGTGATATGAGAAGCATTGTGTGCTAAAAGCAGCCAATGGAGGATGTCATCAAATAGAAACTCCCCAGATATATTTCCCATCTTCTTCTCTTCTCCATCTTTTCATGTATCTTTCATTCACAATTCTCTCTTCTTAGCTTTCAGCCTCAAAGCCTGATTCCTCAGAGTCAGTGTGAATGATGATGGTTATAATATATACTATTTGGCAGATGTTTTACTGTTTTGTTCCCTGTTTATTTATTAATGCATTTTTTTATCTTTGTATGATGTTTATCAAGGCTTTTTGTGGCTTTTGACTGTGGTGTATGACTAAAGTTATTTCTGGAGATGATGTTTGCATGCATTTACAGTAGCTGATTTCAAGGGGATATTCCAGACCACTCTAAGGTGGTTAGCTGGTCTTATTTGGCTGGTTTAGAGCCAACTTGAACACTTATCCAGCTAGGCACTCATCTAAAGCTCTGGCTGGGATACTAATGCAAAGTTCAGACTCCACGATTTTGATTATCTGGGCTAGAACTGCATCGCTGTTTCGTTTACACTGCAAGATGAATCGGCGACTTGGAGTTTCACACTGCATGACTTTAAAATAGGAAGAATCGCCGACAACTTTTGTCTCAGTCTTCAAACTACGCCTCACAACTAAACACACGTGAGAAGTGACATGGAAACAACATGAGCTCACGTAGTATTTTGTTATTAACTAGCCTACATAATGAGATAGAAACCTTTAGCAATGTAGAAATTGTACTTCTTTTGCTCACCTTGCTTTAAAGGGAATTAGCAATTTTTCCTCAAATTTTTTTTGAATATTCAGTTGTGATTTTGCTCAGATGACATGTCAAACAGACACGGGTGCTCCTGCCAAATTTACACTAGTTTTCATCCATTTCTTGGGTTTTCCATTTCTAAATAAACTGAAAATTAGCCCTTTTAACTTCTCCCCCAACCTCCTACTGACCTGCAGATACCCATACTAGTGAATGCTGCTCTCTCATTGGCTGTAGGTAATCGCCAATGTTATTTTCAATCAACACATTTCACACAGCATGATTTGAATTGCCGACAGGTCCAGATATTTAGCATGCCAAATATCTCACGGGCATCAGCGACTCATCGAAGATTCTCTCACATCATGTCTTTGATAGGCAAATCGGTGCTCTTCACGTGAGCAGCAATCACACAGTGTGAATTGTGATTTCAGGCATTTTTCTGTGATTTTTCTCAACCTGTCGGCGAGTCAAAATCTCTGGTAAAATCATGCAGTCTAAACTCGGCATGACTTAAACCAGTCAATACCAGTTAATCTCCATATGAAGATTCTACTTGGTGATTGTGTCTCTTGCCGTTCTGATATCGACAACATCCGTTTTCTCCAGATCATAGTGACAGTTTGTTTTGCTGACAAGCTGTTGCTTAACATAAGAAGAAACTCTCAAATGATCTCAAACATTTCTCCTGCACCTGAGCGAAGGTTGTTGAAAGTGTACAATCCTGCAACAAAATGTAAAACTGACCATCTGCCCTGGTATACAAGGCAAGCACAGTGACCGATTGTAACAGGGCTGTGTATATTTCAACCAGATTCAAAGCAGATGTTGAGGGTCAGGCTTTCAGGGGCCTGTTGGACTGTTGCATACTTTCCATTGAGCAAAGCTGTGCGCGCCTTTTAAGTGGATTTTAATAACACTCCTGTAATGAAATGATGAAGGGATAGGGGGTGTGTCATGCACTATACTGTAGACAGGATCAGGGTTGTTTTAGTCTCTCGGTTCAAATATCTCGTCTTTCCTCAGATCTTAAAAAAAAAAAAATTCCAGAACATATAATTAGAACATTATCTCAGCATTCTGGAATATGAGTGTGGAACAGGGCTGGAATGCAGGGTTACCTCACCGTGCAGGACCATGATTCATTGCACTTTTGGAGCCCGTTTGGAACAGTTTGCACGCTCTGTTTACTAAACACAGCCTCATGAAAGTTCACTCTAAAAACAGTGTTTGACCATGCTCAGAAACATTGCAGATATCAGCAAAAGATGAATGGACTGCCAAACTCCTGCTTTACTGCCAAACATTTAACATCATACATGTGCTTGCGGATACAAAACTTTTTTATTTTCCTTACAAGATTGTGCGGTCTCACTGTCACACAGTAGATCATCTAGATTCAAATATAAATTCAGTATGCACTCTGCTGTGGTGACTCCTGGGCCTAATAGTGGTGTTTTAGTGGTGTGGTGATGGTGTCATGGGATGTTAAGAAGTCCAGATCTCATAGATGGAGACAAGGCTGTAAAGCACCATCATGCTGCGATGCCCTTGAACACAACCCAGATGCAAGGCAGAATGGTTTGCTCTGGAAAAGAGAGAGAGGGAAAAAAAATTAAATGAGAAAATAGATGATCTACATCCCAGAGCCAGAGGCAAACTCCACCCTAATTTCAGTTTCGCAGTTTGTAAGAGAAAACACAGAAGTAAAGTTTGAGTTCCTTACAGGCCTGTTTCAGAACTCCCGCTGGATTATTCTGAGAGTGCTGGCGTTAACTGATAAGCAGATTTCCACAGAGCTAGAACAACTGTCAAGTTCCACAGATCCCTTGGTCTTTGTGTGTTTATCTATGAAATATTTAGCTTATTGATTATTCTTTCAGCTCCAAATACTGAAGTGCTGCACATTTCCCTTGACATCACAAAAGAATAAACCAAAAAAAGGCAAAAAAATGTACAGATTTACAGAAATGACTTCCTGAATGGTTATTTCTTTTGAATTGAAGTCCATACAATCTCAATTAAATCAGTTTAGCTTTTTTAATAGTGTAATGCTGCTTTCACAACATGAAAAAGATCTGCAAAGGTAAAAAGTACAAAGTTTACTCTAAAGGGAGTTATTCGCAATATCAGCCAGGATTGATTCTGAACTCTGTCAAACACCTTCATTGTAATCCTATTTTTCCTGGAATTATATTAAAACAATTATTATTGTTATAAAAGTAATTCCCATTCAAGAGGATGTGACCTTGTAAATTTAGTTATTAGTACTGTATTATTGCCATGTTCAAGAGATGCTTTAACATCCATATTATGCACACTTTAAAACCCAACAGTCAACTTTATCAAATAAATTTAACAAAAAAATGACTGAAAGTTAATTCTACTCATTTGAAAAGAGTTTTGAACTCAGAGTTAATAATAGCTTATCACAAAAAAAAAATCTTACTGTGAGAAAGGTAGATGCACAAAATAACACTTGCATGCTTGTTTAGTTTACATCTTAAGACTTTAGATGCAAAAACCTCTAAGTGCCGTCTTTATTTTTCATCTAAAACTAGCATTTTTCTTAGGCTACTGTGTGTAGTTTCAGTAATATTACTCTAAGTGCAAAGAATATATTATTTCTCCTTGCCGTTAAAGTAAAAAAAAAACCTGAACATAAACACAGGGGGCTGAGAAAAAAATGCTTATTTTTGAGAAAAAATTCAGATGGCATTTAGAGGTTTTTGCATCTAAACTCATCATATAAATTTCTGTGTTCGACATAGTTGAAGTCAGAATTATTAGGCCCCTGTTTATTTTTCTCCCCATTTTTTGTGTATCGGAGATAAGTTTTTTTTTTTAACACATTTCTAAACATAATAGTTTTAGTAACTCATCTCTAATAACCGATTTATTTTATCTTTGCCATGATGACAGTAAATAATATTTGACTAGATATTTTTCAAGACACTTCTATACAGCTTAAAGTGACATTGAAAGGCTTAGCTAGGTTAATTAGGTTAACTAGGCAGGTTGAGGTAATTAGGCAGAGCACTGTACAGTATGTCAATGGTTTGTTCTGCAGCCTATCAAAATTATAGCGTAAAGAGGCTAATCATTTTGACCTTAAAATGTTTATAAAAATATTAAAAGCTGCTTTTGTTCTAGCCAAAATAGAACAAATAAGACTTCCTCGAGAAGAAAATATATTATCAGACATACTGTGAAAATGCTCTGTTGCTCTGTTAAACATCATTTGGGAAATATTTAAAACAGAAAAAAGGGGGGGGGGGGGGGGAATAATAATTCTGACTTCAACTGTATTTCCATTTTTCCTCTCTCTGTGCTAATTCAATTCACAATCTGTTGTGTCTTCCACTAATTCTTCCATTCTGAATAAATTTCTATCTGCTTCTTCCTGCTTTAAAATAAAAAAAAATATATATATATGCACATTTACAAAGCACACGTATTCAGAGTACTGCTACGCTATCAGCTCTCACTGGCATTTTGACATTTGTGTTCATGAAATGCCATGGCATGTGGCTGGCAAGGAGAGTCATGCTAATGCGTGTACATCTGTTATTTACAGGATTGTACATGGTCATCTTGTTGTAGCTGTGTGTGTCTGTCCATGTGGATTTAACCTATGCCATTTTAAAACTGGCCACTGATGTCATCTTAAGATGAAATTTGGACCAAATAAAGCGGCCTTCTTCAGGATTATGTGCATATACCAGAAAACGTGCAGATGTAAGTTACAAAACCGTGTGACAAATGACATCTGTATCTGCATCTGACAACTTAATCATCAGACTGTCCCGCTGGGCAGACTCAATCAAATGAAAGAAGAAAGAAATGAAGACTGAACATAAGGGAAAAAGCTAATAAACTAGCTAATATAGCAACAAATAAGACAGTGGCTGTTTAAAAATCGTTTGTGTTGCCATAGAATATTCATACAGGTCAAATATTTATGTGATTTTTCTACTTAACAAGTGCGTTCACAT